ATACGAAGTAATGGATTAAATATATAAAAAAATATGAAAAGTTACATTTGTGTGTTGGACAGCAATTAAAATAATTTAAAAAAAAAACATTTCTTTATTTAATATTTTCGACTATGCATAGTTTTATATAAACTCAATAAAAATTCAATATTATACTTTATTATTTGGCAAATATAGTAATGAAAAAATTTTTCAAGATAATGGGTATGAAAAACAAAATTAATAATAGTTATGAAAATAATTAGTTATTGGTCTAAATTTAAGAGCAAATCAACGTAAAAACTTGAAATGTACAGCCATGAAATTTCAATTAGAAGAGATGTAGAAGAATTGAGATATTTGTTGATGAAAAACCAACAGACTACAATATTTGCAGGATTTATATCATATCTTCTCCGAAAAATAATCAAAAAGGATATTTTTTTTTACTTCGTTTAAAAATCGAACTTCATACTTACAAAAAGCTTGAAATTGGAATGTACTTTATCCACAAGACTTATTTTTAATCAACAAATGTATTGCTTTATATTATTTAATTTACTCATTCGAACAGAATGGGACTATTTTATTTACAACAATAGAAACAAAGAAAAACCAATTTCACAAATCTGCAATATTACATCTCAATTTTGATGTTATGAGAAAAAAAAAAAAAAAATTAATAGTGGAGTAATAAAAAATACAAACGTGTCAGAGTACAATCGCTGCATGCAATTCGATTCAGAGCATCGGCAATACGGAGAGAAGAGGGTGGGCAACGGTTATGACTCCCAAGTACATAACAATAATAAACGAGCAGGTCTTACTGTAGATGGCCGACGGTTGCTGGCACGTGCCGGGCAAGTTGCGCCAATTATAATGCGCGATTTGCCACGCAGCTCTCGCTGAATAATATACGATGCGATCTCGCGCCCGGGACATCTCAATTCTTTATGCCATTCATACCTATCACTTGCTCGTTTTTTTTTTTTTTTTCTTCGCTTACGCGTACTGAAAGTTATATCAACTGTCATGAGAACAATGGGGCCACGTTTTGTTTGCTCTATGAATTGCGTGCTTGAGTGCCTGATTTCTTTATTTACAATAGTAGGAGGTCACCCAGACTTGGACAGAGTGAATTAAGATTGCAAGTTGGCCGCATAAGTTTTTTTTACCTATTTTTTTTTTTTTTTTTAATTTTTTGTTGTTGAAGCACTCCAAAATTTGTGCAGGATTTTAGAAAAATTTATTGCCAAAATATAAAATACTAGTAAACAATCAAAGGTAATACGAAAGGAAGAAATTTTTTTGATGGATAATATGGTACACTGTTATTAAGAAAATCCTATATAATTACCGTTTATTGAAAACGTATGTCAAAAATGGTTATCACCGAATTTACACGTAACCAATACTCAAATAAATATTTAAAAATATTTTTCAAAGGCAATTATCACGTACGTTTCCTTAGAAAAATCTCTGAAACAATACTAAATCTGTAAAAAAATTCAGGTATTTCTCTGCCAATGAGTGGAAAATAAAATACCCAATAATTTGGAAAGAAAACAAGGTACTTGACATATCTTATTTGAATTGAAGATAAAATGGTATACTTACCAAATTAAAAAGTAAAACAACATTTTTTTTGTCGTGAAAAATAACGAGATATCGTATGTTACCCATATATTGACGTTACATCAAAAAAATATGAAAGAAAAAATAAAAGACAACGCCCATAGGAATCCAGTACAGCTGTTGATACAAACGCGAAATCAGATGACCTTCAAAATGACCTCGACACTAAAAAGTGTAAGTGCGATCGCATTCATTAAAAATCCATTTCATTGTTTTCTTTTCACTTTTTCAGCCACAGAGGCGTCCAAAGCCGACCGATTACAATATAGAAAGCAAAAAAGGAATCCATAGGCATGGCGCAACGACCAACGAGTCACCATCAGCACTGCCACACAGATAGACCCAGCACCTGGACGAGACGTCATCACGCACCGTGCTCTCCGAGGAAGTAGTCCGGAAAAAACAGCAGCAGCACACCAGTACATGAGGAGGGTAGGGGGGAGGAAAAAAAAGTGAGCATCCCGTCGCGCGTCCCGCAATCTGGACTGATGGTGAATCTGACACGTGGAGCGTTAACTGGCGTCCAATTTATAAAAATAACGATGAAATTACTGTTGCGTAAAGAGTCGCCATCCGTTCATGTATATATGTATATTAACGTGCAGTTTGCGTCCACGTACATGAACACACCTAGGGCCAGCGTGCACATGTATATCGTGGCGGTCGCAGTAGCGTTTGTTAAAAGCGCGACGGACACGCTCGCGTGACACACCACGGTTTACAGGCGCGTGATAGGTGTAGGTGTGCATATATACGCGGGTGGATTTTGGCCCGGAAAGCGCGAGCTCGCTTTCTCTCGCTTTTTTTTCTTTTATTTCTCGTTCTCGCGTATATATATGTTCCACTGCTACTGCAATGGAGTTCTCGGACGAGTTTCCTCGTGTCGCGGACGTGACTGGACTGTATTCGCGTGCTCGCTGTTTTTTGGCCACGCTCGCGCGTTTTACACGTTCGAAAAAATATGTTCATCGGCACGTAATGTAATTGAGCCGCTCGCTCGGCGTTTCTTTCATTTTTTTTTTTTTTTTTCTGCCCCTTTTTTCGACACTGCAGCCTACGCGTCATACATCTCTCGTATACTGTACACATCTAATGAAAACGCGCACGTTTATGGGGTAACGAGCGCATCTGCAGCTTTGGTGTAATGAACGCAAGAGCAAAAGTTCCTGTAATACATCCGATGGTAAGCGCTTCCGTAAATATCAGATTAATTAAAACGGAACGCTAGTAGCTTACACGCGTATGAACACAATTTTTTTGGCCACCTTTCTTTCTGTGTGTGTTGGCCTTTTTGTAGCTCAGTAATGCTGTTCTTGGAGATTTTATGTACTTAAAATATCGATATCAAATATGCACGAGCAGCAAAGCTATGTAGTCCATATCTTTCCATGTGAGTTGTAATGGATATATGAGTATTACGTAATGCCCTTAACCAAAAGGTGAATAACTTTTTAAAAAAAAAAATTTTTTTGTTATTGTCTGCAATCAGTTTTTTTTTCTCGTGTGCTCGGATTCGCTTTTTCATTTCCACTGCGTCAAGTATGTCGATCGAAAGTGTTATCGTGACAGGATCTTGATGCCACTATTTTTTTTTTGGGAGGGGGGGGAGTAGAGGAAGGACAAAGAGCGAACAGTGGAAACAAAATCGTATACACGTTTTAGTGAGATTCGAGAGCGAGATTGATGTTTGGAAGAAACAATGACGTTTTAGATGGATGGTTTCATTAATATTTTTNGCATGGGTTCCGACTGTGCAACGAGGCGTAACCAACCCGACCTACCTATCGGTCTCTTTTCCAAGCGCTCCGGGAGCTTCTGGAGGATGGATAGAGGAAGGTAAAAAGATTGGGAAGATATGAAGTGTATTAAATACAGATATCTAGAAAACATGCGAACGATGGTTTCATTAATATTTTTCTTTTTTTTTTTTTTTTTTTCTACAAAAGCCACTCGAACAATGTTGATAGTAAATAATAAATATAAAGAGGCTTGTAGTCCTTGCTATGGCCACAAGAATAAGATTTGTCACAATAAACTCAGGAGATGTCATGAGATGTCATAACTCATTAAATCATGTGATTTAGAGATGTCATTTATGTTAGATAAAAAAGTCAATAGTTTAGATTGATGTCACGTTGCATCAAGTTCTTGATATATTGCATATCGTAACACAGACCCAGGAGCTCTATCACGATATGCCATAGATTGCAAAAGTAATTTTTTTTTCGGTAGTACCTATAGAGTACACATGCATACAGCTTTTTTCAAAGAATTTAAGACTGACCCACAAAGGTAAGCCAAATACAAAATTTCAAAAATGAGATATAAATTTCTTGGAGAAGAAAGGACGAGACACTAATATAAATTCCGATCCTTCTGAAGCTCATTGTAGATACATTATTCTTGGTTTGTTCAGAACTCAATAACCACATAGACTTTGGATTTACGTACATATTTTTTTTTTTATTAACATAAATATACAGATATTTTTATCAAATTTTAGAAGTATAAAAGAAATAAACTAATTGATTTAACAATAACTTGCAGTTGTCAAAGTCTTCCATGTGAGCGATGAGAATATGCATCGTCAGTAATGCTATAGTAAAATAGTGTGTTCCAGGTCTACGTTTCATCTTATCTTACATTAAAATTTTGCTATCAACTATTATGGGTACTTTATTTCACTGGTGTCAAGTGGTATTTTCAAGGTCTAATTAGCAATTCTGGCTTTAGTACCACTGCTAAATTATTTTTCGGCAAACAGTTGAACGTTTAAATTACAATGAAGACTATTACGTTAAAAGTACCAGTAAAATTATGTCAATCTATTAGAACCACTTACAGCTAATAGATTTTTATAGATTACATTAAAAAAAATAATAATAACTTGAAACAAGCTGCATTTTTTCGATCTATAAAAATCACTTAAACTTAATGTTTGTCTATACAAAAAAAAATTGTATGCATCGTTGTTCCAACATTCACATAATTAGAAACACTTGATTCCCCAGTATGGAAACATACACACTTCAGCTAAACAATATGTATGTATCAATGCTTAGATATTTTTGAAAAGCATATTCTATCTAAAAGTATATTCATCTTGGAAGTACACATTCCATCTGACGTAAATAAAATTAATGATAAACCAGAAATAATAGGCCCATTAGTAACCCTCAAACTTTTCATAATTTGTATCACTTGTGATTTTTTATGAATGTGTAAAAAAAAAACTTGATTAAAAATCCTTCTTATAATGATACTTTTACTTAAATCGATGTAATGATACCACTAAGTGTCTTACAACAGAGTATATGTAAATACAATTTTTTTTACGTTATAAATTGACATGATATTCAAAAGGCATCACCTCAATTTAATTTGATTTAATGATCAGAATTGATTGCCTTGTTAATCCAATTGACATGTAATGAAATTTGAGTGAAAATAAAGTGTTTGACTCTTCGATTATGAGGCGAAACTGCAGAAGCAAGTCCAACCAATACAGGCTTTTTTTTATACTGTTGGATCAAAGGATAACCAAAATCGCCCTATAAAATAAAATAAAAATGTTTAATAAGCTGTGGTATCTAAGCTTTTGTAAAAGTAACATTAAGTACAAACCTCAATTGTATAATATAAAACTTTTTTCTTTCCAGTGGCACAGAACAGCGATTTATGCAGTGCAGTAGCTGTTTCGTTAATCCTCTTCTGTGCATATAGATTATTTCGTTTTCTCAATTTAGCTGCACATTTTTTATTTCTTATTGCAAAAGCTATAAAATACTTCAGTCGGTCAACCTCGAATTCTTTTAATTCACACATTCTGTAATTAATGATCCTACTTTTTTTCATTACGTTGACACTTTCATTGGGCTGAGGCAAATTGATAATCGTGTATCGATTGGATTTTGGTTTCCACTGCAAAATAGCTATGTCATGCATGGATGTGTTACTGAAACATTGTAGCTTCCAGTTAGTTCTTAATATATTTCAAATGGTATATCATAAATAAAAAGCGTATGTAAAAGTGAATGTCTTACCTCGGCCCATACCCTGGATGAATAATAATCCTGGCAATTGAAATGATCTGCACACCATAACTATCATCGTAAGTCATGAGTGCACCAACCTTGATGGAGTACTGAGTAATATTATCTGATACACAGCTAGCGGCCGTCAAAGCATAGTTCTCTCTGATGAGTACACCACTACATACATGCCTGTGCGATTTTTGAACAGATATCATAAACGAAAATTCTCCTTTTTTAGCAATCTTGTGAGCTATGGCAACTATTTCAACAAAAAAAAGTTACATCATTAAGGGAGTTATCATTCGTCATTTAGTGCACTGAACTGTTAGATAAGACAAATGAAAAAATGCATTTATGACTCTGGTATAATGGCGATTGATTAAACTATATCAAGGAGAGTTATCCACTTTCGAAAGAGATAGATTGTATAGTTGTTTCTTCATAAGTCAACGTGATAAAAAAGTCACCTTTACCTGGTCTTAAAATATTCTCCCTCTCATTGGCAAAAAATGTATTTGTATTTAACTAGCGAATCGAGTCGCTAGGATATTAGTTGCACGTTCCGAAAAAAATTAAAAAATAATATATTTTAAAACGACTAGTTTATTACAACCAACGTCAAATAGTTTGACACTTGCGTGAATTTGTTCGGAGTCATAGCCTACTATTCACATTTAATGCTATTTACTGCTTTTACAATTAAACAAGTTTTAATGAATTATATTCATCTAACAGTTGTAAGCAAAAGTTATGTTTTAGTTAATGATATATTATGAGACTCCATATTAAAACTTTGGCTCTCATTCATTAAAGAATTTAAATATAACTTACAATAAATATGAGTATGACTTTCTTAACAACATAACAAATTCATTTTACTGGTTTGAATAAATATTGAATCATCTTTAACTCGAAAGCAAACCTCCTTGAATAAGCAAATCTCTTTAATCATTAAATATTGTATCACGTATTTTTACACCAGAGAAAAGGAAATAATTGATAATTCACTTATTATGCCGTCTGCAAATTGTATATCATTATTAAACGTACTTACCTTGAATCACTATAATTATTGACAATATTTTGGTAAGACCCATAATAACTGTGAGACGAAGAAAAAGAATTAAATTTCTTATAGCTATTATTATATTATGAACAAGTAATCTCGCGAGTAACTAGATGAAATGACTTACTGAGCACTTAACGGTAGGTTATAAGGCTTGGTGACTTATTAGATTGAACTTGTGAATTTTACTCTATGAGAATATGTGGCTTAATCTAGAGTAAAACTATGACAACATTAAAATGGCGATACGGATAACGACTTCAAGAAGCATACAGGCAACTCAATTAACACGTTTTACTTATATCGCATACTGAGAATTAAGAATATCCCCACCTTAAAAAATCGCGTCATTACGCTTATCTTCATTAGAATTTTTGAAAGCATTAATTTCACTTACAGGTAACGGCTAGAAACCATATTTTAACAACAGGAAATTATGAACTTTTCACTCAACATTCGACGTATTGCAATTTGCATTTTCAAATATCAATTTTACTGAAAAAAGTTGGAATGCAATTTACTAGTAAACGTATTTTTTCTAATTAAAATTTAAGATAAAGTACCATTATTTTTTTTAACTATGTAAATCATAAGTGTTGCTTTTACAAGGATCTTATCTATGATAGGGTATTTTTCAAGCTTATCTCTTACGTATCTCTTTACTCTTCCGTCACCAAACTGATTCAATATTTATATTAAACAATGTGGCTATGATGATATGTGCTGTGTAACACTAGAATTTCATTTATGTATAATACCGAATGGTATAAAAAATATGTAGTGAAATTTATGTGGAAAACCCATCCACGTAAGGTACGAAATATATATGTTATTTTGAGAGCAAAGAGTATAATGTTAATATTCATCAATAAACGATTTATTCAATTTTTAGGTGTAAAGATTCATGTCGTATTCTAAAACTCAGAAAAATATTTATCAACTAGAGTAAAAAAATAATCAGTGAAATTGTATTAATATTACGTTATAGTAAATTTTAAACTTAACTACTATAAAAGGTTATATTTTCTCTGATATCAGATTAGCTATATAGCACGTCGAGTTTCTAGTCACATCTATAGCTTGGTGTCGGTTTTTTTGCTATCACCTCGCTATCATTGTTGTCACTACCGTAATTTTAGATATCTGCGGTCTACTGCTGCCTTCTCTACTTGGCTTTCAAGGGTTGTATTATTTTTGTTCCTTGTAACAAGGAAAAAATAGTACCAATCTGTAAATAAAAATTCTTTTCAGTTCGTTTATTAAAATCTGGAACTCACTATAAATTATAGGTTGAATTGTACAGTTTTATTTTTTTATCGGATCAAATACGAGTTGTAAGTTTATTCATTTTAATTAATTATCTATAAATCTTGTCGCAGATGTTTTTACATCTTCACAATATTGAAAAAAGATAAATTTTTATCATAAGCAATCTCTTCTGTTAATTATTAACTTGACAAACTAAATGAATAAACCTCCACTTGAGGAGCCACACGTGCAGATATTTAAGCGTTATTTGTGATTATCATTGTAATCATTATCCATAAAATCTCAAGAACAAAGTTTTTACAAAGCTGAATTACACTTTTCAAAAATGTTTTGTTAACAAGGCCACATGTGTGTTTTTTTTCAAGATTTAGGAATCTTGCAAAAATTAAAATTTAAAATGAGTCAAATAATCATTGTCAACTAAAAAAATTGTTTGGAAGAGAATTTTTTATTAATAAACACTCGACGCTCATTTATGATTAAAATTTTACATTTGAAAATTGTAGTAACCTGTGGTTAGTATAGAGTAACATTATAAGAATGGTCTAAAATTATATAAACTAAATAATATTTATAATCATAAACAAAATTTTTTAATATAAAGCAATTAGAATTGTTAAGTAATTTTTTCTTTTACGTAATGCACTCTAATGGTAAAAATTCTTTCATAAAGGCTAAGATCTCGTTTTGTAGCATCCAGCTTTTTTACTTTACATTTGTAGCTAAAATAATAAATGCAAACGTAATTTTTTTGTTACAGACAACTGTAAAAAAAAACTTGGAGTTTGTCGTAAAATAAAATTTTTTGTTTTTGACATTTTCGTCTATAGTTACGTCTTTCGTCTTTTCGTCCTAACACAGGTAATGATGAAAAATATTTTAAAATGGCTGAAAAATTGTTAATGCTCTTTATATGCTACTCAATGATGTTTTTAAATTCAACATTTTTATTTCCAGAAGTCACATTTTTTATACAAACGAGCATATAGTTTTTAAACATACATTGCTAGAAAAACGGTATTCATAAAAATAACTAAACATTCCGTTTTACATTAGTCACGTTAATGGCTGTTGAAGACTTTTTATTGTTTTTTTTTGCATATTTCCAAGGCCATGAGAGAAAATGAAAAATTGTTTTTCTAATTTCGTTTAGCAACCTTGTGTCTTCTAAAGCAATATTTAAAATATTTTAAGGTTTTATAAGATGGATATAAATTGGTTTGAAACATTAAAAAATATGATAAAGTAATAACAATAATAACAATAATAATAATAATAATAATAATAATTCAGTACATTGAGAAAGAAATGGAATAAGATGGTAAGTGGAAAAGAGGGAGAAAGTGCACGTATAGATATGAGACGAGACAGATTTCGAGGAGGAGAGAAGTAGAAGAGCCGGAGCGCTAGTGCTGGCTGTTCCTATAATCTGTTTATAAAACAATTTGCGAGGCAAGTGATGCGTGAGATACAATATATCTGCAAACATTGTTAGCATTGGCTCTGGTAGTGCGGCTCTCGACCGCACAAGGAAAGGACTATGTAGCAGACGGAGATGGACTGTGTGCGCTTCAAATGCTGTGGCCCAACACGGGGGGTAGATACGATCGCCCGATAAAACCAAAAAGAGTCAGATGCCAAAGTCGCGACGAATCTGGTGCTACTGCTGCTGCTTCTGGGGTCATTCTGTGCGAATGATTCACTTTGATTTAATAATAAAAAATAAAGAGCACTGGCCTCCAAGGGGAGCAGAGGGAAGAGTGGGGTGGAATAAAATTTGATGACATTCGCGAACAAGGCAGGAGGAAACGCCAGAGGGCAAATTCATTCTGTCTCACCACCACTGCTGCTCATTGCAGTTGAATCAAAGACCGCCCAAGGCCGTTATTTTATATATTTTGCGGCCAGCTAAGGTTTGCTATTCTTCAAACGCAGTTAAGCTTATCTTATGGCTCTGGCTATTCCTGTCCATGAATCTCCTTGCGGACTTTTTATTCATGGTGAAAGAGTCGAGTAAGAGGACGTTGTATATAATTATTCAATAACGGGTGCAATGTATTTCATAAACAGATACCACATGATAAAAAAGATGTTTGGGTTATTCTGACCCTCGCTCAAAGTTAAAAAGCAAGGATAAGTAATGAACTGAAATTTTTTTTTTAATATATTATTTTTTGATTAATTTTTACAGTACGAAAATTTTTATACTTCGTTAAATAAAGTAATTTTGTTCTTTTTTCATTTTCGACGAAAGAGACTTTTAAATTCGTGTTTTTTGCGTTGAAAGGTCTACTGCCGTACAAAACGTAAGTACGAATACGCAGGTCTAATCTATACATAACTTAGTTAACATGAATGTTCAAGACAAAACTGATGGATCAATGCAGAACTAACTGATTAAAAAATTAAATATAAAAATTAATTAATAGTAAGATCTTTTAGATCTTACCTGTTTCTTAGACCATTGTTAGAAATTTTACCACCAAATTTAGTTTTTGACAAAAGGGCTAATAAATAATCAAGACATTTCAATGAGCATCTGACCTAAATGGATGCTGCATTAACAGATCATTATTCTTTATTAAATCTTAGTTTTCAAATACTATTGTAATGTACCGAATGTCTGATGGACTGTATTATCTCAAGCCATGGTTCGAATAAAATAACCAGTATTGCTGTACACTACACTCTAAAAACGAAAATTTACGGGTTTCATTGTTTGAATCAATCTAAAAGTTATATTAGCCATATTATAACATATTTTGAATGTTAATTTAAAAAAATGAAAATTGGCTATCAATTATGTTTTAGCTGAAACCATTTTATTTAATCACAAAAATTCTTCAACGAAAAAAAATTCAAGTTAGTTTCCAACTAAGAGC